TTTTGATGTCTGGCAAATGTCCATAGTAGGTGCCCAAAAAAACACTTCATGAATAAACTTAAAAGTAGAATTCAAGGTGAATTAACAGACAGATTTCAAACAAAGTCTGGAGATAAAACTAAGGTTAGATTAAAGCTGTGACTGATAATGGCTAAGGCATCTAGAGGACCTAATTGTATCAAGATAGAGCGGCCTTCAAAGCTCTGTGGTCTACTTTTTTGGTTAATGTTTAAGTTGAGTTGTTTTAATAAAGAGATATTTTGCCCCCAAAGTACTCTCAAGTTCCAAGTTTTGGTGACCCGGGCCTTGGAAAATAAATGTACTCTATTCTGCCAACAGCCCTGGGAGAGCAATACAGCGCAAGACCATCTTGAGTCAATGTTGAGAATGAGCAGGAGTCCTTAATCTTGGGCCCATTCAGTCCATGCTCTTCTGGTCCCACTGTGGTTTCACTCCCATTAAATGGAGAAAATACCTGGCATTTTCTGACATCCCCAAGAAGGGCAAACTTGGCGCCCTTAGCAAGTACCCTGTCAATATGCTCTGAAGTCTTAAAACGTTCAGATCATGGCTGAAGGGACAGGAGCCCGCAGCTATATCCAGAGATCTGACTCAGCCCCAGTTCCTCGTGCCAGTCATCTCCACTCTGCCAGGCCACGAACTCTGCTAGCTGTGTTGGTGATTCGGCTATTGCCACCTTTTCAGTTGTGGTCCTGAGGGTGGTGATCTCAGAGCAAACTCGGTGGATATTAATCCTAGAGAAAACCCTCTCGAAGGACTAGAACCTTAGCCAAGACCGGAGCACTTTCTAGTTGGCTCTTCTCCAGTTAGGGAAAGGAACGAAAGAATGGAGGCATTGGAGACCCACAGAGCCAGGGAGGAAAGTCAGCACCTCCAGTGTTCAGGGGCAGCTCCTGAGCCGCAAGGCCTGCCTCCCACAAACGCAGGAAAACATACCCTGCCTCTCACTGGGTCCTAAATTACACAGCTCCCTTCCCCTAGCCTTCAGAGCACTTGAATGTGCTCCCACTCCTGCCATGGACCTTCGCCATCTGTGGGACTTGTTTTGGTTTCTCACTGCTCACACGAAGCATCTTCACAAAGCCTTCCTGTGTTGTGTCCATGCCGTTTCTGTGAAGCTTCCTCAAGACACTGGGAGTTACTGGGTTGGCTGGAGAGTAACAGGTGGATCAAGGAGGAGGAGCTCTAAATTCTGGGTGCCCCCCACCCTCAGCCATTGGTGCTGCCAGAGAAGGTCCAGGCCCAAAGGGAAGAAATGGATTAGGAGGCCCAGGGAGCCCCAGACCAGTGCTTCTCAGGGCTACAGTGGGGTGCTCTTGTTCCACGGGACTGGAGCACACAGCCTCCCAGGTGCATGCTGGGGGAGTGCCAGGGGCTGGAGACCTTCTCATTCCCTCCCTTGCCTTGGCTGGGCCCGACTGCCATGCTAGCTGGGGCGCCCAACTCCATGGGACAGCAGATTCTTCAGGTTGGCCCCAGGGATAACAGATGGGTTCTCTCCCCTCCTGAGCTTCACCCGAGGAACTACTCCCTGAAGCCAAGGGACTGACCGTCTTCACTTCCTCAAACAGCAGCTTCCATTAACTGAGCGCTTACTGGGTGCCAGTCTGTGTGTTCTGAAGCGCCCTCCCACATGGTTTTATTTAATCTGCACATTTACCCTCGCAGATGGGAACTGGTTTATCCCCACCTTAAAAGGAAACTGAAGCTCCAGACGCGATTTGCCCAACACCTTTCAGCTAATAGGACTCTACCCTCCCCACCCTGGCACTAAACCATAACTGAACGCGTGAGGCCAGGAGCCTGGGGGATCATGTCTAGGAGAGAAGCCTCGAGATAGGAGTTTAGATGACACAAGACAACTATGGCGAATTAATTTGGTTTATAACCCTTTGAAGGTCAAAACTGACTGTCCCTCGACCAGCTTCCCTCATTGAACCAGTAACAGAAGGCTCTTCTGTGTCAGCCGGCAGGGACACCCCAGGGCCCCGCAGGATGGAACGTGCAGGTGGTTGCGAACTGGGCTCAACGGCCTGAGCAAAGGGTGCCAGGCGGAGACTGGACTCACCAGGTGGCACCAACCAGTCTTGAGGAGGAGCCGGCCTGCCAGGCAGCTGACGGGAGCGTCATTCAGGACCATCTGAATCGAATAGTTCCAGCCCAACTGTCCACACCTCGAAGGAACATTACATAGCATCCTGGGATGGAAATGCACTTCGAACTTTGGTTCATTTAATAAACTGAAGTGCCCCCAAACACTGTGCTGGACTTTGTGCAACCCTAAGACGCACTCTTGCCCTTAACAAAAAGTTAGCAGATTGGGCACACAAGCAGCCAAGCAACGGTGAGGACTGTGGTGAACTGGACAATTCCGCTCAGACGAAGCTGCTTTACTACCTTGCTCCGGGTGGTTGTAGCATCTCAGTACAGAAGAAAAATCTAGTGATTTTTCAAGAAAAGCCCCAAATCAAAATGCGAACCCTTCCATTTTTTAAAAACAAAATGCAGGCCAACATCTGTGTTCACTAGTTTGCAACCTCCGCTCCTCACTGACCATGCCCAATTTTTCCTGTTATGCCTTTAGCACCTCACACGACGGGGCAGAAGGAATCAGTCAGTATGCGGCGAGCGCACTGACCAGGGGAAGCTTATCCAGAGGCAACGGGTCTGAATCTCCGTCATACATAAAACATTTGACGCAACCCCAGAGGATTTTTAGCCTTGGAAATGATGAACGAGAGGTCTAACAGTTGTTGCAAGTAAGAAAATCCTTATGAAGCTAGAGCACATGAAAAAAAAAAAAAAAAAGCTAGAGCACATGGCTTAACCAACATTGGGGCGGGGGGGAGGGGGGGGAGAAGACTGCTTTTACATAAAATATACATTTAGCAATTGACTTAGGTCCCCACTACTGTCTATGGCTCTGCCCACCCCCACCCCTTCTTTACTTGCCCGGCCCTTAAAGGCACTTGGGCTTTCATATTTGGTAAGGGCAATTCAGGCTTTGCCTGGAGTTCCAAATGTCCAACCTATTACCTAAGAATATTATCCAACTTGGTGTTTTTTCCAAGGATTAAAATCAAACAGTATGCAATAAAGGTGCTTGGCACATCTGGGCAAAGGTTTCAAGAAACATTCACTGTTGTTACAAACGTTTAGATGTTTTCTATAAAGAACCAAAATACACACTTACTGTCAATGCAGTTACAGGGAGTCTGATTTTGTCTTAATAAACAATACTTGAGGGGCACCTGGGTGGCTTAGTCAGTCAAATTTCTGACTCTTGACTTCAGCTCAGGTGGTGATCTCAGGGTGTTGAGATCAAGCTCCACGTTGGGCTCTGTGCTGAATGTGGAGTCTGCTCGAGATTCTCTCCCCTCCCCCTGCTCGCTGTCTCAAAATAAATATATAAAATCTTTAAAAACCCAAAGAAATAATACTTGAATAAACAATCCCACTGGAATGAGATTATGAGCCTGAATGTTCACATAGAACAGCAAGGGCCATTTGTTAGGGGACACCAGAGGGGAGGATTAGGACTTTTATGGTCTCTGCTCTTGGGACCCTAGGACTACATGCACAGCTTGGAAAACTATATTCTAGTGTAGATTTTTAAAAAGAATGTGGCTGATCTCCATGGATATGGAAAGAAATAGCAAACAGAGTAAGTGAAAAAAAGGAAAATTATAGAAATATACAATGGAAGTCTGAGTTTTAAAAAGGATGGGTTTGGGCGCCTGGGTGGCTCAGTTGGTTAAGTGGCTGCCTTCGGCTCAGGTCATGATCCTGGAGTCCCTGGATCGAGTCCCGCATCGGGCTCCCTGCTCGGCAGGGAGTCTGCTTCTCCCTCTGATCCTCCCCCTTCTCATGTGCTCTCTCTCATTCTCTCTCAAATAAATAAATAAAATCTTTTAAAAAAATAAAATAAAATAAAATAAATAAATAAATAAAAAGGATGGGTTTATGTGCTTAGAACACTTCTAGATGGGTGTATAAGAAACTTCATAAGACAACCTTAGAGAATGGGTTGGGGAGCAAATGTTTACCTTCTATCGCAAGATACTTACTTCTCATTTTATGGCCTTCAGTTCCATTTTGAGCATTCTCCCCTTACCAGAAGCATCATTACCCTTATAACAAGGACCAAATAGGGGTGCCTGGGTGGCTCAGTCAGTTAAGCATCTGACTTCAGCTCAGGTCATGATCTCAGGGTTCTGGGATTGAGCCCTGCTCAGGCTCTACGCTCAGTGGGGAGTCTGCTTCCCCTCTCTCTCTCTCCTTGCTCGTTCTCTCTCCAATAAATAAAATCTTAAAAAAAAAAGACCAAATAATTTGGTTTGGCCAAAACCTTCTGGTCTGAGTTTTGCTTTACAAACAGTTCCCATGATAAAGCTTTATAGATCTCTTTACATCTCCAGTGTCAAGGCCCAGGAACTTCAATAGAGTACTGGGCTCCCCAGCCTCCTCTCCCATTACCAAATGCACCTAACTTTGGAAGTTGCTTCAGGTCACCCCCCCGTCCCTCATTTCCTGAGTCCTAGGTGTTTTTCTCATATGCACTCACTCTGTGAGTGGTATCATTCAGCTTTTAGATATTGTCCCCATAATGACTCCCTAATTCCTAGCCCTGGCCTAGACTCCCTCCTGAACTCCAGATTCATGCTTTCCAATTGCCTACTCAACAGTTCCATGTGAATGTGGAGTACACATCTACAATTTAACAAATCCAAAAGTGAATTCACCTTCCCCAATAAACTTGTTCCACCCACAGCCCTCCAAATCTCAGTTGATGGCCCTTCCAGGCTTCTAGTTGCCCACGTCCATAAGCTCATAGTAAGAGGACAACTGAAAAGCAGTCTGACCCACAAGGCCAGTTATCTAAAAATGAAGATGGCCCTGGGTACTGGGATCAAAGATCTCATATAATCATTAAAATGTTTTCTGAAATATACTTGAAATTAACTCACTTTAAGTCTAGGTTTAGATTTTGGCATTTTAATTTCTTTTGAGTATGTCACTTTGTGCAAGCTAGGAAACAGAATCAAACTAAGGCAGTCTAGTCCATCTAGGGATCCAGGTTGAGTCTTGCAGTCTTCAGCAGAATGACATCATAATGCAAGGTGCTAACAACAGGTTTATAATCTCTAAATAACAATCACTTATCTACATTTTTTCCTTAGGAAACAGCCAAAGTCCAGTCCTTAAAGGCACGATATACAGAACATCTTGATCTATAAAGAACAGAATAACCCAAATTATGTTGGCCAACTTACTGGTGGACCAAATCAAAGCCGACCAAGGATTGGTGAACAGAGAAGGCGTTTACCTTCTGCAAACTTGCTCTGAGATTTTAAAAAAGTCCTGGCTGCTGTTAATAAGAAAGCAAGTAAAAAATATTACAGATGCACCCACACTGACATTTGATTTGCCAAGGTCTTCCATTAGCACACAAAGTGAGAGATGAGTGTAGGGGTAAGATACTTAGATGTTTTCAAGATAAATTACTAGTAATATGAAATCTGACATATTACATTTTTCCATTTGCTACCAGAACTGACAATAAGGACTATTTAAAAGAAATGCTGAACGCCAAAAAGGGTGGCAGCAGTAACACTCTCCACTACAGGATAACCTCCTGCTTTCCCACACCATTAACACCGCTACTCTTCCAAGATACATACTAGTGTGGAAAAACTTGTCAGCTTTTGCCAGAGCCAGGAGATGAAAAATACAGCATGTCCTAATTAGTTAATTTGTAATTGTAAGCTCAGTTGACATCTTGAGGATGGCCATTCTTTTGTTTAACATCTGCAAACTGCAGAACTCCTTAGCCCTTAGCCAGTTTCTGCTCAATATCTTAAAGCTGGTCTCAGTCCCATCTGTGACTCTTCTCCTCAGGGTTGAGGGTTGGTGCTAGTCATCAAAATCTGGAATGTCATCGTAGGAGTAACCCCGGTAGCCTTTGGATGCATAGTAGGCGATGCGAAGGTGGTAAAATCCTGGCAGGAACACCAGGATGCCAATGATCAGGACGGGAACAGCCCGGTCTGCCCCCTGGTGGCAGAAGGTGGCAAACACATTAGTACCATACAAATTACCAATTTTAAAATAAAACAAAGCCATAGGTTCAACCCATACATCAGTATTTTACACTCTTCAGAGCATTTCCTTTGGGTAGTATGCTACCAACGGAACAGGTTTACATCTCTTTTCCTCCTGATTATAAAATGTAGAAACTCTAGGGGCGCTTGTGGGGCTCAGTCGTTAAGCGTCTGCCTTCAGCTCGGGTCATGATCCCAGGGTCCTGGGATCAAGCCCCACATCAGGCTCCCTGCTCCGTGGGAAGCCTGTTTCTCCCTCTCCCACTTCCCCTGCTTGTGTTCCTGTTATTCCTCTCTCTCTCTCTCTGTCAAATAAATAAATAAAATCTTTAAAAAAATGTAGCAAAACTGCAAAGCACTAAAAATTATAAAGTAAATAAACTGTCCATCTTCATCCATAGATATTTCGTTTATTTCCTTCTTTTCTCCATTCTAGTTTCTAGTTGTGAACACACCATACCCTGTGCCTTGTTTTAGTCTCTTAGTGTAACAAGCAATTGCCAAAATATTATGAAAAGTTCGGCACTGGGGGTGGGAGATAGGCAAAATGGGTGAAGATAGTCAGAAGGTACAAACTTTCAGTACAAAACAAGTAAGTTCTGGAGATGTAATGAACAGCATGGTGACTGGAGCTAATAATACTGTATTGCGTATTAGCAAGTTGCTGAGAGTAGATCTTAAAAGTTCTCATCACAAGAAAAAAAATTCTAACTATGTGTGGTGATGGATGTTAACTAGACTTATTGTGATCATTTTGCAATATAGACATATATTGAATCATGTTGTACACCTGACACTAACATGTTATATGTCAACTAATGGTGTCTATCATTCCACTGTAATGGATGCACCACAGTTTTACTTAACCACCCCCCTACCGACTGTTGGATACTTTGGTTGTCTCTCACTTTTTGTAACTGTACAGAATACCACAATAAACTTCATTGTTTTCCTTGGCCTTTCAGATTCTACTGTATATTCCCATGAGCACAATTCACAGGTCAAAGAGGAAGAAATGGTGTTAAGTGTTTTTATCAATAGGGCTTCAACTATTTGGGGAGTTCCAGGAGGGCAGGGACTTTGTTCATCCCTGGATCCCCAGCTGTGCCCAAAATATAAATGTATTAAATGAATGAATCCACTCATAAAATTGCTCTGCCTTGTTTTTAGGTACAGTTTTAAATGTTTATACAGTTAAATTTATCCTCCTTTTCCTTTGTGATTTTCCCATTAATTTTAAGCTTTCCCTCATCTAAGGTAAACCCAATCTAAAAATCTCTTTTTTTTTTCAAAGATTTTATTTATTTGTCAGAGAGAGAGAGAGCATGCGTGCATAAGCAGGGGGAATGGCAGGCAGAGGGAGAAGCAGGCTCCCTGCTGAGCAGGGAGCCCAATGCGGGACTAATGTAATGTTACAGCAATGATTCTCAAAATGTGGTTGATGGACCACCAGCATTACCTGGGAACTTGTTAGAAATGCAAATTCTCACCACCCACCTATAGACCTGGAATCTCTGGGAATGGAACCAAGGAATCTGTGTGTTAACAAGTCTGCCAGATGATTCTGATTAACATCGAAGTTTCAAAACCAACTGCCATAACAAATACACAGCACCTCCTATGATATATTTTTTCTAAAAGAAAACTAAACCTGAATCTAAGTAAGTCTCTAAATCTAACAAAAATATGAAGTCAAGGTCAAAGATATTAATACAGCACCCGTAAACTTATATAAAAACTGTTACAGATGCATACTGAAGATGCTACTTGAGAATACCAGCAAAACAGAGGTGCCTGGGGGGCTCAGTTAAGCATCAGACTCTTGATTTCGACTCAGGACATGAGCTCAGGCTTGTGAGACTGGGCTCCATGCTGGGTATGGAGCCTGCTTAAGATTCTCTCTCTCTCCCTCTCCCTCTGCCCTCCACCACTCTCATGAGCTCTCTCTCTCTCTCTCTCAAAAAAAAACAAAAACAAAAACAAAAAGAATACCAGCAAAATGTAAATCTGGCATTTGGTTTCATACACAGGAAAAAAGGTGGGGGAATACATGAAGCAAAATGTTTATAACTGTTGATGATGAGTGGTAGACACAGAGGGGTTTAATACATTATTTCATTTACTTCTGTTTTGTTTGAAATATCTGTAATAAAAATGAAAAAACTCCAAACCAAAAAAACAAAACTTATTAGTGATTCTCTTAACATCTTTATTTATAAAGCAGTCTTTTATAAACCACACAAGGTAAAATGATATTTGCTGCATGTGGATGTCACCTCCACTCTCAATATTCATATCATTAACAGAGTCCTCTGGAATTGATACTGTATACTGCAATGAAAGTTAACTGAAGGCACAGTCCTGAAGCTAGATGTTCAAACACAGATTGCACCAAGTAAACACCTGGTGACCATATAATAATTTTAAATAGATAAGAAACAAAGGCAAATCAGATTCACTTCTTAAAAACCACATGCAGCCATTTTATTGCAATAGTGTTACTATTCCCAATTTCTATAGTGTCCACAGTTTTTCAGATGTTGGCTGTGTTCCCTCTGCAGAACAATATGACCATCATCCCCTGGCCTGGTGTGTGTTGAAGAACAGACATGACTTGTGATCATTATTAGTTCAGATCAACTTGGGCACTGTCTATTAGTATATGTATACAGCCCGAGAAAAAGAACCACCAAATACCACTTTAGGTTTTGAAGATAACACTCGGAAGCATAACAAGAACTCCAACCAAACCCAACGTAAGAAGGATCAGAGTCATGAGTCACAAGCCCTGGTTTGGTCAGTGGCCCCAGACCTATAGAAGCCTCACTGTTTCTCCCCAAACCTGGAATGTCTGTGGCACTGCAAAATTGCAGTAACACATTCTACTCCAGGTACAGCCGTTATCAATCAGGAATCCTCAATGCAAGGCTCAGCTTTGCTGTTCTAAACTATCACAGTGGGAAGATTGCTCGACATCTCAGAGGGAAAATGCGCCTACCTGTCCCCACACACCTCACAGAAACTGTGGGACAAGCATGTTCTTGCTCAAAAAGAGAAACATATGCTTTGTTATCAGAGAACAAAATCTGAAAGAACACTCTTTTCTTCTTTCTGCTGGCAAATCCTGTACTAGATATGAATATAAAACAATAGAGCCCACTTTAAAGATTTCATGGCACACTCCCACAAACCCTTCAACTTACCCCTTTGCTGATATAGCCAGCCAGCAGAAGGGAGCCTATGATTATGAGAAAGGCGCCAATCAGAAACAGCACTGTAGCAAGCGCAATGGCCTTATATGGGATCTTAGGAGGGCTCTTCTTAAACTGGAAGAGAAATAAACAAAAAAGGCACAGCATTATGAAAATACCAGGACTGAGACACTTTAAAGCATGGAGAATAATAAGAACCAAGGTGGATGCTTTGTGTGTCTTGAAGGAAGTCCTACTACCCACTAGAGCTCCGGGAGAGAAAGGCAAGGGACAAACAGGAAGTGAAGCTCTAGTTATTGCTCTAACAATCACTCAGAAGAGTTCGAGCAGAATGTTACTCTTTCTACTTCTAATCTCATTCCACATACCATTCACCATAAGAAAATATTTTCTTACAAAAACAGAAGACACTTTAATGGTCATTCATTGATTAAACATGTATTTATTAAATGCTTGGCACATGGAAGGTTGTACTAATCTATAGGGATTCAAGAGTGAATATCATGGTCTGGAGAAGTAAACAAAACTAGTGATTTCTGGCATTCAAAGTTAAGTTAGCATACAGTCAAAGGTTTTAGAAACAGCTTTTTCTAAAGCACTAGTTGCCCACCCCATGGATCAAGTAACCTAACTTGTTAATAAGTTCAATTCAAAGTTAAGATTCAGAGACAAGCTATCTAAGGTTTGCCTCATTTCTGTATCTGACCTAACTGGCTGGAAGCTTCCCAGATGTCCTTTCAAAAAAAAAAAACAAAAAAAAAACTTCTCTCCTTCAAGTATGGGTCCGAAGAGTACAAAGAGTCATTGATTTGTTTATATTTAAAGGGATGGGTTCCTGCCTCTTCCTCCTTAGCCCTGGTTCCACCTAAACTATTCTAAGGGGAAGTGGTCAAAAGGAGATGCTACACATTAAGTATTTTATAAATAATGAATCAGGGTAGAATACAAACTTAACAAACATTCTGTTTTACTTACTGTTTGCCACAAAGAATACCTTTAATAAATTGGATCTCATGACATCAGGAAAGAAGGAAGATTCCCACAATCTGCTGGCTTTAGCAGCTAGTTTCTCCCTTAAAAGACGAACTGGCTTTGACTAAAGTGTAAACAAACCAATGACACAGTCCTTAAAAAAATTCTAGTTAACAAAACACAATCTGAGTATTTTCCAGAAAAACTAAATAAAATACATATCTACTGGGCTCTGGCGTTACAACTAAAAATTCTTAGAAATGAACAATATTTATATTTGTTTGAAACTGCTCTACCAAGGCCCCTCCTTCTGCAAACTATGGTTGAAAGGGTCTCAGAGATGAGTTTCCTTCTTGCTGCTCCTTCTGATCCCCATGGACAGTTAGCAAATCCTCCACCTGGAAGGTCTTCCTGCTAACTCAAAAGAAACAGAGCCAGCCAGTCTCATCAGCTCCCTTCGGCATTTACCTGAAGGTCAATGTAGCCATCGTCTGTGCTGGAGAGCCTGGAGTATTTCACTTTACTACTGGGGATTCCAGTAGCCAGGTTGGTACGGGATGGCATCATAACACACTGACACAGCTACAGTCTGAAGACAAAGAAAACTGTCATTGTATGCAAGTGACATCAGTGTGTTACATATATTGGGAGTTTGGGGCTGAGATGTCATACTAAGCAACTGGCAATTTATACTCCATTGCACTTAAAATCTGATATTCCTTTGACAAAGTGAAAACATTCTCATTATGTATCTACTCTGGCTTGTCCTGGTAGAACGAGAGTCAAGACATTTGCCAAGAAACAGACCTCATGTTTATCTTGGCACCAATATTCCTGTGCCTCCTAATTTTTCCAAAGCCTCACACAGAGCAGGTGAGGAGTGGTGACTTAAATCTGAGTCTGACACCTAAGTCCACATTTTCAGTCTTTCTGCTATAGTACTGCCTGGCCCCTGTCCCTGTTTCAGGAAAAAGCAGAAAGAGCATATGCTCAAATGATTCTCTTACTTGCCAGGGACGGAGAATGGGTAGGATATGGAATACACTCACATCAGCATTTTGTTGATCCCCCTTAATGGGTATCTTTCTTTTAATGCAAAAAATCTGTAGAGCTTCCTGTAAATTTGGCTATCAGCACTATCAGTACTGGTAATCAGCACTGTACCAGTGCCAATTTCCCTGCCTCTCTGCCCCACCCCAAGCACTGAAAGTAGTGATTTCATTTTCCAGATTACTTCTATAGCTTCCTAAAAAAATAAATAAATAAAATAAAATCTGGTTTTTGTTCAAAATATTCAAAACCAACTTCAGTAATGAAATCATGGCTATTTTGTCACTAGTTGAAGAGATAGTAGATAAGATTAAAAAACAATGACATTTAAATGGGGGAAAATTTGTAATTTGTGCACTTTTCTGCCATAAAATCACAAAGTTATATGAATAAAACAAGTAAATCTATTTTGATTGTGAAGCTAATTCTAAAGGTGAAGTGGATCCGTAAAAAGGGAAAATTAAGTATTTCACAATAAGGACAACATTAAAAAAAAACAACAGAAACCATAAAGACTTTGCCTTCCTCTGGTATGATACTTTGTAAATAACCATCATCATTATAATAATGTCAGTTAATAACTACCCAGTGTTGGTGAGATACCAGGTACTACTCTAAGTGCTTTCTATATACTTTATCCCAATTATTGAGCCGTTTTAAGTGGCCCGCAGTCAACCTAAAATAACTAGCATTATGATGGAATTGGTGCTAAATGCAAATGTCCCTTTTTATATTATATACCAGTGCAGAAATCAAGTACTGAATCCAGAATGCTAATTTATATGCTTTTTTGAAGTTAGCTCAAACTGCATCAAATACTAGGTTTTTAAGTGTTGCGATCCCGATTACATGATAACCTAAATTTAATTCTACAAAATTTAAAGTCCAAACTACCGGTATGTGGGGGTTTTGAGGGCATTTAATCACCTCTGATTTGTATCGTCTTTTTAAAAAAAGTTTACATACTCTGCCATTACCTATTCATACACCCGTATCAAAACATAAAAAATCGCAGGGTGTCAGGGAGAGGGGAGACGAATGCTTACTGGCGGCAAAGAGTTAAGAATTCTGCAAGAGGAAGGAAAAACGTAAACCGAGTACCAGTCCAAGTTCCCAAAAGGCTTTTTTTTTTTTTTTTTTTTTTTTTTACCAGTTCCACCGCAACCCCCAAACTTCCTAAACACGCGAGGGTTGCAAGACTTTAAAAGCATCAGTAAAGCATTCAGCGCAGTGCCTGGCATTATGCGCCTCCACACACACTACCTCCCTGCCCGTCTCCAAGCCTAGCCAGGAAGACAAATAAAAACCGACGCGAATTTAGACGGAAACAAACAAAACCGGTTCCTGGGAAGAGGGCAGCGGTGACCCAGGCTGGCGAACGCTCCACACCCAGACGCGAAGTGGATTTCGGCAGGGAGCGCGGTCTCGGCCCCGCCGGGCTCCTGAGGGGGGCGCTTCTGTTCCCGCCCCGCCGCACACACGCCTTACCGGAACGCCGCGCCAGGCCGCCCGCGCGCCGACAGCTCGCTCACGGTTGGCAGCAGAGACGCCTGAGGCCTCATGGCACGCCTCACCTAACGGCCACCCGCCCCACCCGCCCAGCTCGGCGCCGGAAGTGGCACGCCGGACGGCGGCGCGCCGGAAGTGGCGTCACCGGGAGCGACGTCCTCTTATTCCACTCTTCGAAACTTCCCGTTTCGGTCCTGCGCTGGTGGGAGCATCCTGCGGGCGGCATCGGGGGCTCTCGGGAGGCGCCGGCGGAGTTCCGCCCTGTGGGGTTGCGGGAGTCGCTGCGCCCTGGGTTTGCTGCCGGTCACCTCCGCTGGGTTGTGTAGGTGCCTTGGGTGACCGGCCGCCTGGGTCACAGTCAGACTCCGGGTAAACCGGCTACTTGTTCCTTTCCCTGATCCCTCCGGCAGTGCTGGGAGCTCAGTGGCACCCACGGGAGACGGAAGCCAAGACAGTGAAGCTGTGGATGACCGGAACGGCCGGGTCTCCCAGTCACTGCCCAGGGCTGTAGGCCTTCCCCGCAGGCGCGCCGCGGTCTCTGCTGGTCAGTACCCCGCCACTACTCTCGAGTGGCCCCACATTCTTGTGCTTCAGTTTCCCTCCTCACCATCGGGCCTGACCCAGGTAAGAGGCCCGCCCACAAGGGACATTTTGCAGCACGTGAAGCTTTGTAAATGTCAGATTTATTGAAGTATAATTTACACACAATAAAGTACAATTGGATGAGTTTGACAAGTGCATACAGTCTTGGAACCATCACCAGTCTCTATTAATGTTACATCATTCCCAAAACTTCCATCAGGCCCCTTTGCAGCCAATATCCTTCCCGACCCCCAGGCACACAGAAGGTAATGAACCTACTGGGTACAGGGAGTTCTACCGTCCAGTAACTAGAACTCAGTCCAGATACTACAAAAAGAAACCAGTCATTTAAACCACCAAGCACAAAACACACCGGGATAAAGAACTTTAATGAAGCAATTCTCAATATGTACTATGCCAGCTTGTGGCTTTGTGGCACAATTAGTAGGAACATTTAAACAGTCCGTTTCACAACCGCTAGGATTAAGTCCCCAAAAAAGGCTACTTATATTAGAAAAATTATTTTTGCACATATTGCTTGGGCCCTATCACAGATGTACTAAATCTTGCAAGATTCTTTTAAAAGGCTCCCTAGGCCAAAGAAACACTGCCCTATAGCAATGCTAGTCTTCTAAAGTCCACACAGCTTTGGGTACATAAAGCTTCTGAAAAAAGTGTTAGTTTTTGCTAACAAAATTGACAAAATAACAATATGTATAGGACTTGGTCTACCCTCCTGTTCATTTCTTGAACTCAAGTTAGAAGAATACCAAAATAACTTTGACAAATGAATCCCCAAAAATATCTTGTCACCTACTGTATTTGGAATACTTTTTATTGCTGTATCTAATGTATTTTTATCAGGCTGCTCTAGACTGGAAAAATAAGCACATTTACATGAAATGGTAGCTTGAACTGAATTCCCTAGGATACTTGCAATAGTCATGGTCCAAATGAAGGCACTGTCTTGTGATGATGTTTGAAATTCAAATAACTTTTATTTAAATTGAAAAAAATTCTTAAAACTGTATTTAAGAGTCAAACCCCTTTTGTTATGAAAATCACAAGTATTTTTGGGTAAGGCAGAAATATTCCTAGGTTAACAAGACCAGATTTGACTTTGGACTTTATTCTTTAAACAAATTGTAAAGAATGAAGGAAAAAATAGGTTATTTACAGAAGATATCTACATATGTATTCAGAGGTACAAATTTGGTGACAGACTCAAGTACATGCTGGCATCTCAGAAGCAGTTCTTAAAGAGCTTAACTTTCTTTTCTTGGATTTTAAGAATACCTAAGATCCTTCTTCATCCTCGATCTTGGGAGCCAAGTAGTACTTTAAATGTCCCATGTCAGCAATTTTATACTCTACAACTGAAAGAAGACAGGAACATAATTAATTATTGAGAAGTCCACTATACCATCTACAAAACAAGATTCAACAAACCAATTATCTTACCAAGGGGTACATCTGCAGACATACTGAGTGTTACTGTAGGAGAGAGCGGAGTGGCTTTTGTAAAGAAGTTCAGGTATCTCAGTGCAAAAGTTAGCTGAACTGGCTCATTCATCTCTATGGTAACCTGAGACAAAACAAAAGATTAATCATATTGAAAAACATCAAGAAAGTTGCAACCCATTAGTTTAGAATATATTTAAAGATTTATTTATTAGAGAGAGCGCATGGGTGCACGCAAGACGGGGAGGGGGGCAGGTAGAGGGAGAGAATCTTCAAGCAGACTCCAGGCTGTGTGTGGAGCCCAAGCAGGGTTCGTTCCATGAGATGACCTTAGCCAAAACCAAGAGTCAGACGCTTAACTGACTAAGCCACCCAGGCACCCCTAGAATATACGTTTAAAAACAAAACCAAAAAACCCTTTATTGCTTACTTTGGAGAGTGATATGAAACTAACTTTGAGGACTGGTAAATCAAAAGAATCAAGTATTTAGGAAGGGAAAAATGAAACAAGATGAAACCAGAGAGGAGGACAAACCTAAGAGACTCTTAATCTCAGGAAACAAACTGAGGGTTGCTGGAGTGGGGGGGGGGTGGGAGGGATGGGGTGGCTGGGTGATGGACACTGGGGAGGGTATGTGCTATGGTGGGCACTGTGAATTGTGTAAGACTGATGAATCACAGACCTGTACCCCTGAAACAAATAATACATTACGTTAATTAAAAATAAATTAAAAAAAGAATCAAGTATTTAGTCTGCCTTTCCCATATGAACTGTAGCTCAGGTACAAATTGTAAGAGAAAGCTTCTCTCTTTTTTATTTTTTTAAAGATTTATTTATTTATTTGAGACAGAGAGAATGAGAGAGACAGAGAGCACATGAGAGGGGGGAGGGCCAGAGGGAGAAGCAGACTCCCCGCCGAGCAGGGAGCCCGATGCGGGACTCGATCCCGGGACTCCAGGATCATGACCTGAGCCGAAGGCAGTCGTTTAACCAACTGAGCCACCCAGGCGCCCGAGAAAGCTTCTCTTTATGGGAATGTTCCTAATAAATAAATCAGATAATAAATGAAGGAATGAAATGTATTAATACATTACAACCCTAATGACCTAATGATTCTAAATGATTATTATGGCTGCTAAGAAAATATACGACACTTCATACCTACTAGAGGTACACATACCACCATCTGTAAAGTATTTTTGCTCTCTCATTCCCAAAACAAAGGAAACACTGAGTATCATCAAGCCTCTTAGAGCTGTAGCTACCAGTTTATAGGAAATACAGGTTAGAGGAGCGTATTTATTGACATAAGGAATACAATGGGCAAAATCCAGACTTCGGTAAAACTCAATGACAAAGGATTTGCTTCAACAAATTGTAATGGAGGGGGTAAAAAAGAAATTGAATGGAGAACCAACAGATTAAAAGAATTTGAGGGCCTATCATCGAACTACAATGTACAGAGCTTATTAATCTTAATTCAAACGACTTTGAAATAACCAAGGAAATAGGAAAACACTGAAATATTCTTGATACCAAATAATGTCATAAAATGCTCATACTTCAGGGGCAACTGGGTGGCTCAGTTGGTTAAGCGGCTGCCTTCGGCTCGGGTCATGATTCCAGGGTCCTGGGATCGAGCCCCACGTCGGGCTCCCTGCTCAGTGGAGAGTCTGCTTCTCCCTCTCTCTCTGCCTGCCTCTCTGCCTACTTGTACTATCTCTCTGTCAAATAAATAAATAAATAACCCATGCTTAAAAAAAAAAAAAAGCTCATACTTCAGATATAAAAATATTTATAGAACTAATTTGAGGGGCACCTGGGTGGCTCAGTCGTTAAGCGTCTGCCTTCGGCTCAGGTCATGATCCCAGGGTCCTGGAATTGAGCCCCACATTGGGCTCCCTGCTCAGCAGGAATCCTGCTTCTCCCTCTACCACTCCCCCTGCTTGTGCTCCCTCTCTCCTATGTCTCTCTCCGTCAAATAAATAAATAAAATCTTAAAAAAAAAAAAAAAAAAAAAGAACGAACTCGAGATTAAAACAAAAATCCAGAATGGCAGCGGAGTTACAATATAATTTAGGAGACCAATAATTCAGAATTAGCCCCTGGACTTTTGCTACTAATATTTTTAAGTCTTCATTTAAACTAAGGATTGACTACTCACGCAAGGGACTAGAATATCTGATATTTACTATAAACTTAAAATGTCAGACACTATGTTAAGCACTTTGTTACCATATTTAATCTTAATAATCCTATGAGGTTAGAACCTTCAACTGTCCTTAATTTACAGAGTTAACTGATGTTTATTTAAAGGCTAGCAAGGCTTTTTTTTAAATATAATTACAAAATATTAGTTTATAAATATTATTTAAAAACACTTGATTATATAGGAAAACCTTAATTTAAGGATATTTAGTAATTAGAGTGTTCTTTATTTTGTCCCTAAATAGGGGTTCTCTGGGCCCCCTACTGGGCCTACTGTATAGAAAGTTAATATAAAGATTACATAAGAGCTCCTAAAGTAAATTTTTACTCCAACTAGATCCTTCTGTTGAGTTGCAATTACCTTGCTATAGACTGAAGTCTGTGTTCCTGCAAAATTCATGTTAAAACCAAATCCCCATGTGATGGTTCTTGGAGGTAGGGCCTTTAGGAGGTGCTTGGTGCTAGTACCCTTCTAAAAGAGACCCCAGAGAGCTCCTTTGAGCCTTCTATCAGGTGAGAAGCCCACTGTCTGTGAACCAGGAAGCAGGTCCTCACCAGACATCGAATCTGCCAGCTTCCTGGCCTCCAGAACTGTGAGAAATAAACTACAGTTGTTTATAAGTCATTGTCCATGGTACTTTGCTATAGCAGCCTGAATAGACTAAGGCACAACCTAATGTTAAGAAGGGTTACAATGCTCTTCAAAGTATTTTCTGTTTACTTAAGAAACTACTTACAGCTTCCTCCTCCTTATCGACATTACTTGTTTGTGACAACTTAATATTTCCATTTCCTAGTTCTCCACTTGCAGAAAATTTCACTCCATCTTTTGCACAGGAAATTACAACAGCATCTCCAATATGACTGAGATCTCGGCATATACGTGCAAATTCGCCAGAAGGCATCTTTACTACACAGCTATACTCTTGTTCCTATTTAAAAAATAAAATAAAGTTCAGTTGCTGGAAATTAAAGATTTGGCATTCTCATTTTCTGAAGACTCCGCATCTAGACAAGAATTCAGAATTTAAGATTTCCTGATTACTTTGAAATATCACTCATTGTGTAATTTCCTAACATACTCTAACACTCAAAAAAATAAATGTAGATATAAAACAAGTATGTCATAAGAATAATCATACTAAGAAAACTAAAATTAAGAGTTTAAACCTTTAATGATAAACGCACTATTCAGGGAAAAGAGCCTCCCCCTAATCACCTTCTGGGCTAAATCAAGAGGACATTCATGGCATACAAACGATGATGGCTGTTCAAGGAGGCCCAACTGCTTACCAAAACAAAACAAGAAAATAAGATACTAAGGATTTTAAACATCTCAACATCTCTTCTCTCCTTTTATGTTGATAAACTTAACCTTAATGAATTTCTGCTAACACAGCTTTAAAGTCTACTCTTAAAAAGGGGGGGGGGGATGGAGGTTAACGCAAATACACATTTAGCGCAATGAATTCAACCAATGATTCATTTTAGAGTACTGCAGTTTAATGAAATTATAAATGTCAGTATAAATAGTAAAACCCCACTTTGAAGCATGTTATCAGCAGATATATAGAAGTTCTGTTTGAAACTGGGCTTTAAATGATATTATTAACATTATCTTATGTAACTATCATGACTTGTGTACAGTACAGTCAGAAACTTTGATACTCACTGGAATTCCAAGTTGTTCAACATCTAAATCCATTAACTTCATTTCATAGTCGGAAACCTTTTCTTGATCTACCAAAAGAAAGCAGATTGAAGAAAAGCATTTAAGTTTATAACTATGATGTTAAGTTCTACGATCATCACAAACATTTTCTTAAATTTCTCACAACTTTGAGAAATGCACTGCATTTAAATTTCCTCCAGTATAACTTAGTAGAAGGGTAGGACTTACTTGGAGCTTCAAATACTAGTGCCAGGGTGTCCGCATTATCTTCGGCCCTTAGTGTAATGATGTCTTCATTGCCAGCACATTTTAGTATTTTGGACATGCTAGAGCACAGAAGACACAGGATTTAAAATCAACACAATGTTCTCAAGATCGATTTCTGACGCAATTAAAACAAGGAGTTGCCATTTTTACCAGGGTCGTCTGAGGAATTGGGTGAGTTAGGTAAACTGATCCGGCCATTTTGTAATGCAATTTTGCGGTATTTATATTTTAACAAGCACACACCCTACCACGAGCAATTTCACTTCTGGATATCAACAGAAGACTATGAATTGCAAATCCCTTTGATGGATGAAGCAAAGTATTCGGTCGCGACGATCATGAAAGATGATCTAGGATACTCATTAAAACACACTGCACGTAGTCGGGGTAAGTATTTCTCATAAGCCTTAAGATTTAAACATGTTTATGTACTAGACAAGTAGTAATAAAAAGTTGAAAGCCACTGCTCGGGAGAAATTTTAAGTCCAGGAACTCAGGGTGCTCACTGCAACTTTATAATAATAAAAGACCAGAACCAACCGATTGTCCCTAGGTAGGCTGACAGAACTAAGGCACATCATAAAGCAGTTAAAGTCAATCAAGCCAAAGGTTTCTCATCCAAGGTCGCCAGCACTTAATGGCCAAAGAGCTGTGCAAGGCTTTTCCTGGCATTGCGAAGAAGCCCGTCATTTTCCCGCCACCACCCGCTTTGTGACTTTGGCGCGGAAAAAGCCGGTTCGCGCGGCTGCCAGCGCGGGCTTTCCGAACCGCGCGCTCCGCTAGATCCCGCCCCTTGGCGTCGCAGGCCAATGAGATAGCGCAGGTCGCCCATGCCAGCCAATGAAGGCCTAGCTAGCAGGCGCTCCCGCCAAGAGCAGGAGGTGGGGGTGCACGAGAGCCCGGCTCTCCGCTACCCCGGGGCTCACCTGGTGAGGTTCACACCCATGGCCAAGTTGCGGTCGCAGCGGTACGTGTCGAAGCCCTCGGAACGCAGGGTGAGCTGCACCAGGGAGACGTGGGAGGAGTCCATGCTCTGCAGGTTTACGCCACTCGAGCTTATGTCCCAGCAGGCCTCGTTGATGAGATCCTTAAGCGCCTCCAGCACCTTCTTCAGGATGGAGCCCTGGACCAGGCGCGCCTCGAACATGGTGGCAGAATCACAACGACGCAGCTACAGGCGGAGATAAGGAGGAAGTTGTAGCCGGCTTGGGCGTCAGACGACAAGAGCGAGCGAAAGTCTGAGAGGCAGAAGATCACACCCAGCCAGCAGAGCCTGCAACCGTTTAATAGCGCCGCGTCTGGGAGCGCGCGCTCTCCGCCTCTGCGCCGCGTGTGGATACGTCACCACGCTGCCCCGCCCATTGCCTGGCGGAGAGACTCTAGGGCCAATAGTGTCCCTGATCTGCATGTAGCCCGTCCTCCCAGAACATCCATTGGAGGGTTGGATGCAGGGGCGGGGCCTCCGCCTCCTGTAGGACTGCCTTCTTTTCCCTGTTCTGAGAACCCGGACGCTAAACAAGTCTAGACTTGTGAAGGCCAGACCCGGGTTGGGGTTCTTAGAGTTACAGTTTTGTGCTGCCTCCTCCACCTCCCGCTTCAGGGATAGAAAGATTTTAGCCAGTGAAACGCAAATCCAACCTACCAGGAGGAAAACGCCTTGCAGCCTGAGTATAGCTGTTTTAAATATGCATTTTATTTTTGCTATTATAGAAGTGATGTGCTCCTAAAAGTCAAAAGGTAAAGAGGTGTACAGTTATGATTACAAAATTATCTGCCCCCTCCCCGCCCACACGCACACCAAGCTCGTGTTGTTTACTGTATACAACTTTCTAAGCTTTCTATTCTCTATACAAATTTTTTTTTTTAAGATTTTATTTATTTATTTGACAAAGAGAGAGCGCGAGAGCGAGACAGAGAGCAAGCACAAGCAGGGGGAACGGCAGGCAGGGGAGAAGCAGGCTCCCTGTTGAGCAAGGAGCCCGAAGCCGGACTCGATTCCAGGAGCCCGGGATCATGTGCAGGCGCCCCTATACAAATACATTTTTAAAAAACAAAATGGGTTCATACCAGAAACACTTCTGTGATGTATTTAATAAGATACGTTTAATTTTCTGTCACATACCACCTCTATATAAGCACCTCTTAAAACAATGGCATAGTATCCTATGCATGTAACCAAATTTACCAATTTCTTGTAATTACAAACACTTTTGGGCACTTAGTTGATTTTTGTGAGATCGACTCCTTGAAGTAGCATACGCATTAAAGTTTTGATAAATGTTACTAAATTGGCCGCTGAAAGATTGCAATTTACCTAAGACTGTGGACGTGCTCATTTCCCCATATTTTCCTAACTATAGATATTACCAATCTTGTTTTAAAATCAATGCTTATTCGGGGCGCCTGGGTGGCTCAGTCCTTAAGCGTCTGCCTTCGGCTCAGGTCATGATCCCAAGGTCTTAGGATCGAGCCCCAAATCGGACTCCCTGCTCAGCAGGAAGCCTGCTTCTCCCTCTCCCACACCCGCTGCTTGTGTTCCCTCTCTCGTTGTGTCTCTCTCTGTCAAATAAATAAATAAAACCTTAAAAAATAAAATAAAATCAATGCTTATTCGTGTGAAAATTTCAATTTGCATATTAAAATATTTACAGGGGGCACCTGGGTGGCTCAGTAGGTTAAGTGTCTGCCTTGGGCTCAGGGTCCTGGGATGGAGCTGCACAGGCCGGCTCCGCTCAGCGGGGAGTCTGCTTCTACCTCTTCTTTTCCCTCTGCTCCTCCCCCTGCTCATGCTCTCTCGCGCGCTCTCAAATAAATAAGTAAAATCTTTAAAAAAAATTGTTACAGGTTGGGAAACTTTCATATATATATTTTTAAGAGCGATCATTGAGGGGCGCCTGGGTGGCTCAGTCGTTAAGAGTGATCATTGTATGTTTATCTTTTCTATTAAACTCTTTCCTATTGATTACAAGGAACACTTTATATATTAATCATTTCTCTATTACATATATTTTCCCTCCCCTCATTTTGTTATTTTTCTTTTGCTTTGGTTATAGCATTTCCCTTTAGTTGTATTTGCTATCTTATCTTGGTCTGTAGAATTAGTTTTTCTACTATGTATCTTGATGTGGATTTAGTTTTATTTATGCTGTCTAGAGAGTTTAGTGTCCCCAAGTCAGAAGATTTATATATTACATCAAGTCTAGAATATTCTCATTATTGTTTCAAATATTGCCTTTCCCTAATCTATTCTTTCTCTCTGGCAATTCTAACGGATGAATCTGTTTCACTGAAAGCAAGATAACTTTAAGTTAAGATGCACCATTGTTTTCATGTAGCACAAGAAAAAAAATAAAATGTCAAACCATCACACATTGCTTTATCATTTAGAATTTCTATTTTGTAATTACTGAAAGAACTTTTAGATTATTTAAAATATTTGTATTGTATATTACTCTTTAGCATACATAAAAATATAATCAAAGTGAATTAAGGCATTCTTTTCTTTTTTTTTTTTTTAAAGATTTTATTTATTTATTTGACAGAGAGAGACATGGCGAGAGAGGGAACACAAGCAGGGGGAGTAGGAGAGGGAGAAGCAGGCTTCCCCGCGGTGCAGGGAGCCCGATGTGGGGCTCGATCTCAGGACCCTGGGATCACGACCTGAGCTGAAGGAAGACGCTTAACGACTGAGCCACCCAGGCGCCCCAAGGCATTCTTAATATTTCTCCACATTCAGTTTTTCACAGTTGCTGATACTGCTGTGTTTCCATATGCTAGCATACTCTTATCACAGGTGTTGATGCAGCTTTCTCAAGAATGCTACACTCTTGTCTCTGGAATCTTTTCCAAGTCTGTGCCATCCACTTGTAAATTAAAAAAAATTTTTTTTAAGTCTTTAAAGTCAATTTAAACAAAAACACACAAGAAAGCAGTTCACTTATTTCTCCCACTCCCACCCCCTACCTCTGTTAACCACCAATCTGTTCTCTATCTGTAAGCTCAGTTTTTTATTTTTGTTTTTGTTTTAGGTTCCACATAGAGATTTCTTTTAGGTTCCACATAGGTATTTGTCTTTCGCTGTCTGATTTATTTACTTAGCATAATGCCCTCAAGATCCAACCATATTGTTGCAAATGGCAAGGTTCATCCTTTTTTGTGGGTGAATAATATTCTGGTGTGTGTGTGTGTGTGTATCACGATTTCTGTATCCATTAATTCATCAATGGATACTTAGGTTGTCTATACCTTGGCTAGTGTAAATAATGCTGCAGTGAACATGCAGATATATATATCTCTTCAAGTTAGTGTTTTCATTTTCTTTGGATTAATATCCAGAAGTAGAATTGCTGGATTACATGGTAGTTCTATTTTTAATATTTTGAGGAACTTCCATACTATTTTCCATTGTGGTTGTACCCATTTACATTCCCACCAGCAGTGCACAAGGGTTCCCTTTATTCATCTCCTTGCCAACATTTATTTCTTTTCTTTTCTTTTTTTTTTTTTGATAATAGATGTGACGTGATATTTCATTGTGGTTTTGATTTGCATCTCCCTGATGCTTATTGATGTTGAGCATCTTTTTATATGCCTGTTGGCCATCCGCATGTCTTCTTTGGAAAAATGTCTATTCAGGCTTTTTGCCCAATTTTTGAATTGGATTGTTTGGTTTTTGTTATTGTGTAAGATTAGCCCCTTATCCTTAACATGATTTGCAATTATTTCCTCCCACTCAGTAGGTTGCCTTTTCATTCTGTTGATGATTTCCCATTGGTAAATTTTGATATGGGCACCTTCTTGCTTTATGTATGATCAACTATCCTTTGCATACATTTTAATATCAAAACATAGTAGTTTTATCCATTTGTGAGTATTTTGCTTTCTTAGTTGTCTCAGAGTCTTCATTTCTTTGCAAAATGTGGGATTGGCTCACTCCAGGGAGGACCGTTTGCTTCACTAATAACAAATGTATGCTTGGCTACTCTGTTTCTTTACTTTTTGCTTACATAATAACCTTTTGGTTTAATGCCAGATAAAGTGTAATCAATTTGAAGACATTTTAAATGGCAATTAAACTCCACCCAGGTGACACCCACATTACACACAATCAGTTGAAATGAGGGCATATGAATGGCAATGACCTGTGGTCAGAGAAAGCCTTCCAAGGTAGAATTTTATCAGAAAAGCTAGCTGTTTGAACGGAAGAAAGAGTATTCTAGCCTGAAAGAATAGTATGTTGAAAAAGGACAGCATATATAGAAGATGTTCAGGTAGTAGTTTGTTTTACAATTCAAAGATTTTTTTAGGGTAATTTCCCCCAGTTTTATTGAGATATAATTGACATATAATAGAACTAAAAATTGATATGTCTGGGACACATTGATAAAAGGAGAGACTGGTGCAAGGTGAGGTTGCATAGGAAGCAGGAGTGGGAGCTCATAGGACTTCGCAAGTGCAAGGGAAAATTATCAGATCTTTGACATGATCTAATTTGTATTTTAAGAGGATCACTTTAACATCTGGTAAAGGTGCTATTCCAATCAGTGAGAGAAACAATGTATTAAGTAAACTATCAAACTTGATTAAATGTCTAGGAAATAATAAAGCTATAGACTCTTCCTAATAACTGTTCACCAAAATAAATTCCAGATAGATTAAATAATTAAAATTGAAATAAATAAATTCAAAATTCAAATCAATACTGGCTCAGGGCATGGGACTCTTGACCTCGGGGTTGATCCCCATGTTGGGTGTAGAGATTATTTAAAAATAAAATCTTTAAAATTTTTTTCAAGTAAATATAAACCCAATAAGATGTATAAAAGTCTTCTATTATATTTATGAGATCTTGCTATGAGCTTTAAACATAAAAGGAAAATCCCATAAAACTAAGGAATGACTACGTAAGTTTTAAAACTTCAGTATGGCTAATGTTTCCAGGACAGAGAATCCAATTCAAACTGATCAAGAGAAAAGGGGACTTTATGCCTCCAAACAAAAGCCAGAAGTAGCTAGCTTGCAGGGTCCATGGCTCCATCTTAGTAAGTATATGAACAAAATGGTTAGCCACATTAATAGACAAAAAAGTAAATTAAAGGGTAACAGAATTTTAATCTACCAAATTAGTGAAAATTATGTCACCATTCCTTGTTAGGAAGAAATCAAGGAAGTGGGCACTTTCATACATTTAAGATTAGAGTATAAATTGTATAATTTTTCTGGTGGGAATTTGGTATTGTGTATGAAAGCTTTCAAATTTTATTTATTCTTTGAGACCCAAAATCAATCTCTAGGATTTTTTCCTAAAGAAGTAATCAGAGGGGCGCCTGGGTGGCTCAGTCGTTAAGCATCTGCCTTTGGCTCAGGTCATGATCCCAGGGTCCTGGGCTCGAGCCCCGCATCGGGCTCCCTGCTCAGCGGGCAGCCTGCTTCTCCCTCTCCCACTCCCCCTGCTTGTGTTCCCTCTCTCCCTATGTCTCTTTCTCTGTCAAATAAATAAATAAAATCTTAAAAAAAAAAGTAATCAGAGGTACTTACCAAGATGAAGCATGTTTAAGAGTATTTCTTATAGAGGGGCATCTGGGTAGCTCAGTTGGTTAAGCATCCAACTTTTGATCTCAGCTCAGGTCTTGATCTCTGGGTTGTGAGTTCAAGCCCCATACTGGATTCCACACCAAGCCTGGAGCCTACTCACGTTAAAAAAATAAATAAATAAATAAAACAATTTATAGAATTATTAAAATTTCCTCTAAAGTTGGAAATAACCTTGAGTTCTAACAAAATACCATTAGGTAAATTATGATAAATTGTAAGATGGCATACCAAACAGCCTTTCAAATACCATTCTTAAAGAACATTTAATGATAAAAAGAAAAGTCAGGTTATGAAATGGTGTAAATAGTAGCATTCCAGTTTTCTAAAATTGTTATATCTAAGTGTAAGTGCATGGAAAATAGAATGAAAATGCAATGTAAATAGTAACAGTAATTACCCGAGGCTGATATTACCACTAATAATTTTCATGTTTGCTATTATACTTTTCTGCATTTTCCACACTTTCTAGATATAATTGTTGATCAGAAAATATTAATGAATGTTGGGAGAGAAAAATGCTGTAAACTCTTACATAATTTCTGGCAACTTTACTCTTTTATATAATTTCTGGCAACTTTCTTTATAAGGTGATATCATGTATTAGAGTGATTCTCAAGTCTAGCTGCCCCTTAGAAACACCTGGGGAGGGACACTGGGTGGCTGAGTCAGTTAAGCTTCTGCCTTTGGCTCAGGTCATGATCTTAGGGTCCTAGGATCCAGTCCTGCATCCAGCTACTGGCTCAGCGGGGAGTCTGCTTCTCCCTCTCCCTCTGCCTCCCTCACCCCCCTGCACCGCTCATGCTCTCTCCCTCTAATAAATAGAATTTTTAAAAAGAAAAAAAAAGACCTGGGGAGCTTAACAACAACAAAAAAGCCTATTCCTCTAGGCTCCATCTCCAGAGTTTCTTATTTAGTTGGTCTAGGGTAGGCCCTCCATTAGTATCTTTTAGAAGCTCCCCAGGTAATTCTAATAAATAATCAGGACTGAGTAGTACTGTTTCATCATGTGTGATCAATAGATGACTATTTGCTTAAAGCCACCTGCGCCTCCAAGTAAACTATTGGTTTGAAAAAATGTGACCTACAATTTCGCCGACAGGAGACCGACATTATAATTTAGATGGACTGTCTAATGATTGAGGAGGTCTGTAAGTTTGTGGGAGGGCAGAATTTGCAATTTTTGAAGCTTTAAGAAGTTTGACAAATCTGTAGAGTGCACTCCCAATTCCATTTTGCATGTCGCCTCATTAAGCTGAGTTTAGCTATCTGAGAACACTTGTCAAAGTAAGAACTAAAAAGGCAATACGAGGGCGCCTGGGTAGCTCAGTCGTTAAGCGTCTGCCTTTGGCTCAGGTCATGATCCCAGGGTCCTGGGATCGAGTCCAACATCGGGCTCCCTGCTCGGCAGGAAGCCTGCTTCTCCCTCTCCCACTCCCCCTGCTTGTGTTCCTGCTCTCGCGCTCTCTCTCTCTGTCAAATAAATAAATAAAATCTTTAAAAATAAATAAGGAGATACGAAGGGCAAGATAAAAAGCAGATAAAGTCTGTTTATGTTTATTGACAATTTAAAAAAATATTTTATTTATTTGAGGAGAGAGAGAGTGAGTGTGAGCGAGAGTACAAGACGGGGGAGGGGAGTGAGGGGGGAAGCAGGCTTCCCGCTGAGCAGGGACCTGACAAAGGGCTCAATCCCAGGACAATGGGATCATGACCAGAGCCGAAGGTAGATGCAGGCCGACGCTTAACCGACTGAGTCACCCAGGTGCCCCTGTTAATTAACAATTTTTAAAAGAAGTTGCTATTTATTTTTTTAAAGATTTTTATTTATTTATTTCACACAGAGAGAGCAAGAGAGAGAGAGCACAAACAGGGGGAGCGGCAGGCCCTGTGTCAGGCTCCCTGCTCAGTGAGGAGCCTGCCGCTCCCCTTGCTTCTGCCTGTTTTTTTTTTTCTCTCTCTCAAATAAGTAAAATCTTAAAAAAAAATCAAAATTTTTCTTTGGGCTGGAGATAGGGGGAGATTTTTACTTTTAATTTCTTTCTACAGTTTAGAGAGAGAGAGACCCTAAAGCTTGCTAAAAGGCCTATTAGTATGACTTTCAGGGGTCTGAATACCTGCTCCCTGTTCTCTCCAGCGCTAACTTCAGAAATGTACTTGGTTTAAGCTCATCCTGGGAAGACTGAGAGGAATGGCTGAGAAGTTTGTTCAGGCCAAACTGTAGGGGCTTATCTACCCTAGTAATCATACTGTGCATTCTGAAACTTTGATTTATATGCACTGCTCTACCAGCTTCCTTATATTAGGCTGGATTTGAAAGGCAACAGCTGAGCTGGAGGGACTGATGTTATCTTTCACAATTAACATACCCTAAGGGTGAGGATATGGATACATCTCTATCTACCTCTATCAAGGATGACCTTGTGGCTTTTTCTGTGTTGACATCCTTCCTACATCTTTGAGATAATAAACCTTGCTTAATTCACTCGAGGTGTCTGATCTTCAGATGAAGAAGTAACCACTGACATTGGTCAAAATGGTGGTCGGTCCTCAACAGATTAAAAGAGCTTTAAAATTACCATTACTATGCTATTTACTTCTATAAGTAACATCGAAACAAATGACAAAATACAAAAGCAAATCTTTCTATACATAAATTATGGCCTGAAAGGAGTGGTCTGTTTCTCCTCCCACAAAAAACCCATCAAGTCTTTGTGCAATGTGTTGGTAGCACAGCCGGTGTTCAGTATTCCTCCACACCTAGTTTACTGTCACTGTGAAGCACTGTTGCAGAAGCTTGGGAATATACTCATAGAAATCAAGAAAATAGAATGCCTTTCTCAGAGTTCTCACTACTTTACCCAAGGTCAAAATTGCTAACACGAAATTGCAACTCCTACATGTGCAAGTTTCCTTGTTAAATTACCGTATGCTTAGGGGAAGGGACCTCATATCATACTTGTTTTACATCACTCACAAAGCAGAGAATAGGGACCGGTGAAGGCAATGTCTGAACAACACAGGTATTAACAATGAATTTAGGAAGGCAGGTAGTATGTACAATGGTTATCGTAGGCTTTGGTAACAGATCTTGTGTTCTAATTCATAGTGGGCACTTTGTAGTTAATGAGACCTTGGTTGAATAATTTTCCTTTAGGATAATTTTTTTTTTAAAGATTTTATTTGAGAGAGAGCAAGAGAGAGTATGAGCGGGGGGGAGGGGCAGAGGGAGAGAGAAGAGCCGACTCCCCACCGAGCAGGGAGCCCAACGGGGGCTCGATCCTAGGATCCTGGACTCTTGCCCTGAGCCGAAGACAGTCGCTTAACCGACTCAGCCATCCAGGTGCCCCTCCTTTAGGAGAATTTTTAAATCCATTCAAGTACTAGGATATGTCAGGTACACAGTGAACATCCACTATGAACGAAGCAGGCAGCATTCCTGTCCAAGAGGTCTTTCAACAGTCCAGAAGACAGAAAAGAAATTTGAAAAACCGTGGAAGATCTTATCTGTAAAATAAAAATCGTATCTACTTCCCGGCAGAATAAATGAGATAAAGCGATTATTTAGTTCAGTGGCTAGCATAATTAATGAATAAGTACTTGGCAAAGCAAAGCCGACTAATGTTTGGGTTTCACTTCCTTATCACGTGAGTCTCTCCTCTTACACGGCGGCGCCCCGCCTGAGCGGCTCTCAGGACCCACCACAGGGCCTGTGGCTGGCTCAGATGAGTCTCCTGCCAAAGAAGGCTTTGCGGGGTCCCGATGTCTCCACACCAGGAAGGCCTCGGGGAGGTGGGAGACTGGAAGGGGACCCCAATCAACCCTGCGAGACAAGTGGCCCCGGCAACCTCCCGCGCGCTCCTTCCTGCGCACGGGAGATGCCACCCCCAACCAGACTCCAGAGCAGACACTTGTTAGGCCCTGAAGTGGAAAACCCTGGGGGATTTTTCCACTTCAGGGCCTAACAAGTGTCTGCTCTGTATGCGTGAGGGGCAAGCCCTGGCTATGGAGGACGCGAAGCCGAGAGTACCAAGCTTCCTCCAGGTTAGACCTTGGAGGACACCGCCTCTCGTCCCCAGCTACTTACTTTACTTCTGGGATCCCGGGCGCCAGCGCCAGCCGTCCGCTGTCAAGCCGGAGCTCCCATTGGCTAGTCTCCTTCGGAAACACACGCCTTTTCCCGCCTCCTCACGCAGCTAGTCCAATGCACGCTTCTCCGTTCCGCTCCGCCCCGCCCCCACAACCCCTCCTCCCTGATGGATTTTCACCATTGGTGGATCTCTGCGGTCGTGATGGCGGCGGTGCGCGTGCGCGCTTGCTCCGGGGCCCTCCTCCCTAGCGGAGCGAGCGGGGCCGGTGCTGGAACAGGCCGATCGTGCTCCGCCCGGGTGAAAGGGCGGCGGCGGCGCTGGGCGGGGCCGAGTTCCACGGCCCGCGGCCGGGCTGTGGTGGGTCTTGAGAGCCGCTCAGGCGGGGCGGGGCCGGCCGAGCGGAGTCCGCGCCTACCCGCGCTGAGCTGCCCGCTCCGGCGGCTGCGCTGCTCGCCTGCCGCGACGTCGCGCCGGGGTCTCCAAGCATGACCGAGCTGAGGCAGAGGGCGGTCCGGGAGCCGGACGCGCCGCCCGAGGACAAGGTAGCGGCGGCGTCGGGGTTGGCGCGGCCGGGCAGCGGCGCCCCCCGGAGGTTCGCGGGGCCGCGCGCAGGGGTGTCGTCTCGCTCTCTGACCCTTTGTCGCCGCCGACAGCGGCCCCGGGCAGCGCCGAGGGTCTTTGGGTGGGGGCCTCGGCGGAGCGCGCACGAGGGGGCGGTAGGTCGGAACCCCGGCTCTGGGGTCTGGTTGGGGGTGGCATCTCCCGTGCGCAGGAAGGAGCGCGCGGGAGGTTGCCGGGGCCACTTGTCTCGCAGGGTTGATTGGGGTCCCCTTCCAGTCTCCCACCTCCCCGAGGCCTTCCTGGTGTGGAGACATCGGGACCCCGCAAAGCCTTCTTTGGCAGGAGACTCATCTGAGCCAGTCTGAAGCTCTCTGCTCCCTTTTAAAATATTATTTGGGCGAGGAGGCGGCTATCAAGACAAGGCCATGGGATTTGCCTCTTAGGAGATTTCAGTTCTTTCTTGAAAGTGAAATCTATTGGTTTTAAATTAAGCAGAGAGGTCTCTTGACTCACGTCGTCAGCAGGTTTTGGAAGGTGTACTCCCAGTATAGGTTTCCTGCTTCAAGTGTGGGCACTGATGGGGTAGAGCAGGAAGGTAAAAAAAAAAAGAGGCCATCTTGGCGGGGACGCAGCTGGTTGGGGGGTGAGGGATGAGGGGGGTAGACACCTTTCATCGAAGTGAAAGATTCGTGTAGGGGAGTTGAGGAAGGTGGAGAGCGGTTGGTTCGGTGGACGTTGAATGACAGCGTAAGGGTTGGGGCTTGGCGGTAATATTTTGAGCTTCAGGAGCAGTGTGTTTGGTGAATGGATCTGGCAGTGGTGTGTAGAATGGACCGAGGGAGCCTGGGTCAGAATGGAAGACGCTGGTTAACTTGGGGGTTGCCAACGGGTGACCTGCACATGTTTTCTTTGGTCACATGCTATTTTAAAAACCAGAACGTTTCTCCTAACAGTCTGAATTTCAGGCCTATGTGGATAATTGGAAGATCTGCCATCATAGCCCCACCTGATTAACATGGGGCTGGAGCTGAGGACTGTTGCCACCAGTTCCTGTTGTCCTACCCCAGGCCTACAGCACCCACTTATGTATGTCGCTTGCAGGTTTTGACAACTGGAGGAAAGGAACGTCAGGGAAACACCAGGAAGGAAGAAAGCACAAAATCTGGGGACAGGGTGTGGACAGAGCAGTTATACTAGAACACATGTTGGGGGTGAAAGATAATAGGGTGTTAAACAAGTTTTTTGTTACTGCTGTTGACACTGGATCATTCAAGGAGAACTCTTCATATTAATTTTTAGAATAAATTTTGGAGAAAATTCAGGGTTCCAGTGCAAGCTTAGGAGTCACTTGCAGAGAAACGGTACTTTGAAATCTCTTATCTTCCCATTAAATATCCTGGTTGGGCCTGAAAGAACTCTGCCCTACCCTGCATATACTAGTTGGTGAATATTTAGATGTATAGAGGTTGTGTAGCCCTGTTTAAGATTTAATGTTAAGGGACTTTGTGGCCTAAAAGATGTGAAGAGAGGGAGACAAAAGAAGGCACGATAACCAGTGGGCTGTATTTTTTGAAAAGCTATTTGTAATGGTTAGACATACTTACTGGTGAAAACAAAAACACACACTCCATGGGATTGTGAGGTGAAAGTTTTTACCCTCCCCACTCAATTCCTTGGATCCATCTCCCAGAGAAAAAGTGCCAGTTGAGTCTTAATTACTTTCTCATTCCCATGTTTTAGGTAGGGAGAACATGAGGAGCTGTCCAGCTAAAGGTACCTTAAATTTTTACAACTGCACTTGAACCACTTATACAATGACAGAATGCCTGGGGTTGTGAGCTCCACTAAGTGCCTGTTCCCTGAAACACAGCAGCTACTGCATTCGGTTAAAAACCTGATTCCTGTAGTCCATTAACCCAGAACAAGGCACTCAACTCCTCCCCTGCCCCATCACTCAGTATTTCTGAACTACCATGTATGGTATTTTTAATAATAAAGATACATTTTAAGAACTGTGAAATGCTTTATGTGCCTTTGATGAATGTATAGAATCTTTAAAAATATTTACTCTATTTCATAGTTTGAAAAACCTATTTTCATGATTCTGGCTTTGCTGATATTCTTCTGTTAAAGCTTAAGAAAATTAGAATAAAATAGGGGTTCCTGGGTGGCTCAGTGGTTAAGCATCTGCCTTCAGCTCAGGTCACGATCCCAAGGTCCTGGGATCGAGTCCCACATCAGGCTCCTTGCTCAGTGTGGAGCCTGTTTCTCCCTCTCCCTCTCCCTCTGCCTGCCACTCCCCCTGCTTGTGCTCTCCCTCTTGTTATCTCTCTCTCTCTCTGTGTCAAATAAATAAAATCTTAAAAAAAAAAAAAGAAAATTAGAATAAAACAAGGCTCTCTCTTTAAAGAAATGAATTGTGAAATGAGAACTTTCTTATTTCATAGTAGAAGAATTCAGAAAATAATATCAGGTCAGTTCATTAAAAGAAGTGGAACACATTTGAAAGATTCTTTAAAATGTTCCATTTGCTTAATGGTTGTGGCAAAATTATTTTGTAAGTAAGTAATCATTAGTTTCAAAATAATCTGGAGAATGTGTTTATTAGAAGTCAGAAGGTATTTTGTTATATTTAGCATCCTAGAATGGAATTTTCAAAGCCAATTGCTAATAAAGGAAATGTTTTCCACTGGGAACCGTGCTTATAATTTTAAAGTCCCAAAGCACAGTATTGTTGCCAAATTTAAGAAACTTGGAATTTAAGCTTTGAGAATGATCCTCTTTCTGCCCAACCATGTTTTTCCAATGAAGGTTAGGAAAGAAAAAGTTGAAACATGGGCCAAAAGATTGTCATCTTAAAATTTATGTTGGGTTTGGCATTTCAGGAGACTTTGTTTTGGAGGTTAGAGTGAAGGCTCTGCTGTATTTAGGTGCTGGAGTGTTACTTAAATTAGAGCTTTACTTGTTTCAAGGCTTCCTTTGTAGATGGATGAAGCCAGCATGGGAAGGAAATAGTGACACCATTTAGAAAGAAGAGTTTAAAGTTTAACTGAAGACAGTCGTTAGGAGCAAGGACTGTGCCACTTACCAGCTGTGTAACTTTGAGCAAGGCACTTGTAAAAGCCTCTGTTTGTCCATCCCTAAAATGGAGGTGATAAAGTAGCATGTGCTTCAGAGGATATTCCTTTGGATTAAATGAATATGCATGTTACATAGGTAGGGCAGGAATTGTCACATTGTGATAATATATGAGCTAAGGTTGTTTCTGGCTGAAATACAGTTTTATAGAAAAAAATAATAGTCACCTTCCACTCTTGTAAGATGATTAAATCATCAAGTTATGAGTGCTTGGAGTAGTTTTTCCCTATTCATCACTTTTTTTTTTTTAAGATTTTTTTTTAAAATTTATTTATTTGAGAGAGAGAGTGAGAGAGAGAGAGAGCACAAGAGGGGGGAGTGGGAGAGGGAGAAGCAGACTCCCTGCCAAGCAGGGAGCCCGATGCGGGACTCAATCCAGGGACTCCAGGATCATGACCTGAGCCGAAGGCAGTCGCTTAACCAACTGAGCCACCCAGGCGCCCCCTATTCATCACTTTTTAAGGAAAGTGTTACAGACAGGGCTTGGCCTTCTGTGACCGATTTTTTTTTTTTTAATTTAAAAAAATTTCTTGATGTTTATTTATTTATTTGACAGAGAGAGATACAGCGAGAAAGGGAACACAAGCAGGGGGAGTGGGAGAGGGAGAAGCAGGCTTCCCGCGGAGCAGGGAGCCCGATCCCAGGACCCTGGGATCATGACCTGAGCTGAAGGCAGACGCTTAACGACTGAGCCACCCAGGCGCCCTGGCCTGTCTTTTCAGTTCATTTCCTTGCTCAATTTTTCGGTGTTCAGAATTACAGGCAGGCTTTAGCCGTAGAAGCAGCATTGCTGTATGCGATTATCTTCCCTTCAGTGCACTAGCTCTAATATATTTGGGGACAGTGGTGAGTAATTAAAAGTGTTTTTCTGATTTTTAAGAGTGAATTACTGAAAAAATGAAATCTTATTTTAAGAGCTATAAAACTACAGATGTAGGAGAAACGCTCTATTTCAACTTGTTTTCTTATTGAGAAATACTTTGGGTATTGAAAAATCAGTAAACCTTGACTATGGTTCTTTTTATTTTTATTTTATTTATTTATTTTTGAGAGAGAGAGAGAGCACATGCACGAGCTCCCACTGAGCAGGGAGCCTGATGGAGGACTCGATCCCCGGACCCTGGGATCATGACCTGAGCTGAAGGCAGATGCTTAACCGACTGAGCCATCCAGATGCCCTTGACTATGGTTCTTAAACAGGGAGAGAAGGTACAAGATTTGTCACGTAACCCACCATTTTAATTTTATTATTTATGTTGATCAAAGTGTGTAAGTTTAAAAATGCAACTCCCCATTTTGTGACTACTTAAAATTAGTTTTTTTGGGGGGCACCTGGGTGGCTCAGTCGTTAAGCGTCTGCCTTCGGCTCAGGTCATGATCCCAGGGTCCTGGGATGGAGCCCCGCATCGGGCTCCCTGCTCGGCGGGAAGCCTGCTTCTCTCTCTCCCACTCCCCCTGCTTGTGTTCCCTCTCTTACTGTGTCTGTCTGTCAAATAAATAAATAAAATCTTTAAAAAAAAAAATTAGTTTTTTAAAAAAATTTTTTTAAAAAGCTAATTTTGGGGGCACCTGGGTGGCTCAGTTGGTTAAGCGACTGCCTTCGGCTCAGGTCATGATCCTGGAGTCCCGGGATCGAGTCCCGCATCGGGCTCCCTGCTCAGCAGGGAGTCTGCTTCTCCCTCTGACCCTCCTCCCTCTCATGCTCTCTGTCTCTCATTCTCTCTGTCTTAAATAAATAAATAAAATCTTTAAATAAATAAATAAAAAGCTAATTTTGGTGTGCCTGGCTGGCTCAGTTGGTAGAGCATGGAACTCTTGGTCTCAGGATTGTAAGTTTGAGCCC